TAGTAACTTACATAAATTTAAAAAAAATAATCAAATTAAAATATAAGAAAAATATAAGACTTACCCCTCCATCGAACTAGCCATTGTCTTCGACCCCTAATAATACGCCCCACTAAGACTAATCAAGCAACAAATAGATATCATCGTTGAGCTTGCATATGTCAGTGAAACACCCCTGGCTCCGCTCATGTAGATAAAAATCAACTGCGGTCTTAGCCCAAAGGGTGTTATCCAGAATTGTGTCCGGTAGTTGTTTCCTCTCCACTTCAGATATCGGTATGGTACTGGCCGGTAACTCATACGAGAGCCAACTTGAATCCATCATGTCCGGCACGTCTGAGGGTTTCTCAAGAATCCTACATATGACGCTATGTGAATCGGGCTCTTGAATGGTGGGAGGGACCTCTTCAACGATGACAGTGGCCTCTTGAACGGTGGGAGGGGACTCTCGAGGAATGATAGGGGCCTCTTCAACGATAGGAGTAGACTCTTGAGGGATGACAGGCGAGTCGGGCTTCTTCTTGCGGTGTCTTCGCACTATTGGGGTGTACGGAGACTTAATAGCACGTGCACACCGTCTGATGCGTGAACTCTGTCGTGCAAGAAAAACCCGACGTAAAGCATCCACCTTATCGGTCCGCTAAATAATTAAATACAAATATCAATAAATAAATAGGCATGATATTTAAACAGTGAAAACAAAGACAAATATATTTCAAACTTTCAACCAAAAGACAAAACAAAGACAAATACTAACTTCACAATGTTAAAGAATACACAGTTTAGCAGAATTGGCAGCAACCGAATAAATTTACTTCAACCAAAAGACAAAACAAAAAGATAAATACTAACTTCATAGTGTTAATAAACAGTTTAGAAGTATTGGCAGCAACCGAATAAATTTACTAAGCAATCTAAGTGAAATGGTTAATTTAAGTGAAATTGCTAGTAAATTTATCATCAAGTTAAATATGGAAAATCTTAAACTTACCTCGTTGCGTAGAGTATGAACCTCATTCTGCAACGATACTACCATCTCACGTAGAGCGGCAACCTCACCACGTAAAGTAGACACCTCCACACGCCATGCACCATCGTTATCGCGTAGAGTACTGATCTCCTCACGCAAGGCATTGACCTCATCACGTAACTCCCTTGACTCATCCCGTGGAGGTGGAGGTGGAGAACAGGGAGATAGAAGTCGTGGCATCTTTGCCGGTCGCCTATCATGAGGTGATGGTGGAGAAGAGGCTCGATGATGTGACAGGATAGGTGATGGCTCTCGTTGTAGAGGTGTATAGTCGGGTCGATCAAGTGATGGCTCTGGGTGAGGTGATGGCTCTCGAAGTGGAGGAAGTGGAGGCTGCTCATCATTCGTGCCATCAAGAAAACGCTGACTAGCTTGCCACCAATCAGTGGCAAGCTCAGCCTCCGTGGGTGTCAGTCTCATTAATGGAATGTTGGCCTCCTAAAAATATAAAAACTCAAACAAAGTTAAACGTCTACTATTAATAACTTGTTTATATATGATAGTATTTGTGTTAACTTACATTATTTATTGTTGCATATGGTATTAAGTCTTCCCAATCCAACAGACGTTTCCTCTTCCAGGAAATAGTCCTAAGAATATCATTTGAGGTTTTTAATGCATATGTCCGCATGATGGGGAAAGCCTCGAATATCCAAATCTACAAACAATATAATAACAAACATTAGTAATTGTTAAATAATTAATTATACATTTGAAAACATTATATAGAAATTCTTACCTTAAAGGCCCAAACAAAGCCTGACAAAGTGTATTTCGACCCATCGTCCCGCAAACTTTTGCGGTCATCAAAGGCATACGACAACTTAGTCCAGGTAGCTTTCCATATATACGAACCCCACGGAAATAGATTCCATGCATTTAGGTCCTCTACCAATAATATTAGCTCCGAGGAATAGGTTGTCTGGCCTCTCTGCCTAAAAAGCCGGCATACAAAAGTAGTATAAGGCATACTCGGACAACATCGACGTCATTCATCCGAGTAAAACCATCTTTCTTATTAAACAATTTCTTCAGGTCGTCGACGTGTAAGTTCGGCTTCTCTATTGACTCATCCGGAAAAATCCTGGATAACCATGATGGGCGGGTGATATGACGAGTGTACCGGCCTATATCATCGTGTCCGAATCGTAGACCAGTGATTAAGCAGAACTCCTTCCGCCCAGAACAAGTATACGCCGGTGGAAAATGAAACCATATCTCTTCCTCACCACGTTGTATATTGTCGGGTAGATCGTTAGTCATGGTCTGAAGCCACAAATGGGTCAAATTAGCATCTCCACCCGGATGTTGTACTCTCAGCCATGGCCCGAAGCAGGTTTCCTCAAACAATTTTCTTTGTGCAGGTGAAAGCTTCGAAGCAATTTTAGTGGCTAGGCTAACTTTATTCCTTAATGTCAATGAAGCCGAAAAAAATTTCTACAAAAACAATAAACATACCAAGTTAGATATACCAAAAACTACACTGTGAAGATATACTAAAAACAATAAACATAAATAGTAGTTTATTCTTGAAAATAAAATTTGCAACACTGTTTTGTCTTTTGGTTGAAATGAAAATCGCAACGAGATAATGAAAATCGCAACGCGGAAATGACTATCGCAACGAGAGAATCGCAACGCGAAATGACTATCGCAACGAGAGAATCGCAACGCGAAATGAAAATCGCAACGAGAGAATCACAACGCGAAATGAAAATCGCAATGCGATTTTGGTTTCGAATTGCGATTTTCATTTCGCGTTGCGATAGTTATTTCCGCGTTGCGATTTTCATTCTCGAAACTATTCTTTTTCTGCATTACTTCAACCAAAAGACAAAACAAAGACAAATACTAACTTCACAGGGTTAAATACTAAACAGTTTAGCAGTATTGGCAGCAATCGAATGAATTTAATAAGAAATCTAAGTGAAATGGTTAATCTATTATTGAAATTACCAGTAAACTTATCATCGATTTCAATATGAAAAACCTAAAATAATGCAAAATTTTCAAATTAAAAATAATTAAAAAAAACTAACCCTCGGAGGTTGATTTTCCATTTCTGAATGATTGTGAGGGATTTCTGACCGTGAATGGTTGTGAGGGATTTCGCCGGCGATGGGGACGGAAATCTTCGGAGATGGGGACGGATTTTGCCGTAGAGAGTGAGAGATGGAGATGGGACTGAGTGTTGTGATTTTAGGTTTGAGGTTATGAGTTGCGATTACTGTGGACGGTTCAGTTTCCGATGTATTAAGAAAAAATTCGTGTTTGGAATTTGAAAAAAAAATACGCGTTAATACGAATGGCGCTATGTAAATCGCATTGCGATAGTAAGATTTGCATTGCGATTTACGTATTCGCATTGCGATTTTCCTAATTCGCATTGCGATTTACTTAATCGCGTTGCGATTTACGTATTCGCATTGCGAATTATGAAAATCGCAACGCGAATACATAAATCGCAATACGAATTAGGAAAATTGCATTGCGATAGTCAGTATCGCATTGCGATTTTCCAAATTCGCATTGCGATTTACTTATTCGCATTGCGAATTGGGAAAATCGTAACGCGAAATTGGAAAATCACATTGCGATAGTCATAATCGCGTTGCGAATCTGGAAACTGATTTGCGATAATGGAGATCGTGTTGCGAATTAGCGATCGCATTGCGATTTTGTTGGTTATTTTGGCAAATCCGGAAAAAATTAATTAAAATCGTATATTATATGGAATTTTTGGTCACTGAGATTATTTTCTCTTATTAAAATGATAATTACACATTCACGTTGACGTAAGAATTCTCTAAATATATTTGATTGATAAAGTAAAACTAAGGTTGGTCAACTGATTTATTCTGTTGGTTTTTTTAATTAAATTGATTTTAATATTAAAAAACAAATCAACCAATTGGATCCATTATTTAGTTAATTAACTATGATAAGGTTGTGAAAAATGATTTAATGAACCGATTTGGAATTGGTTTTATATATCATATACTATAAATATATTAAAAATAAATTAAAATTAATATAAAAAACGATTTAAAAGATAAAATAAATGTTATCATAATTTTAGTTGTCGATTGTCAATATTTATTGTTTTTCTCTTATTATATTGTATCTTTGTTATTTTGTTGTTTTCTATTTTTAATAACTCTGTCTTTGTGGTATATTTTTATTTTTCTTTTGTCACATTTTTTATCGTTTGACTGTTGTTTTCGTTTATCTTTTTCTTAAGGTTGGATTTGACATCGCTATAACTGATTAAGATAGCGTTTATTTGTTATCATGTTGATATTCTCTGCTTTGAATCATCATATTAGATTTGCATACGTAATTTGTGTTCGTTGATAGTTTTTTCACGTTACTCGACTCTGATTTACGATTTGACACTAATTTTTCAATAGTTTGATCTTCTTATGTGGTCTGTTTGCCAATGCAGTCTGCATCTACATTTTGTTAGAATTCATTTGTGTAAAAAAATTTAATATTTTTCTTATATCGATCCTTATATGATCTTAAAGGATTAATTTCTTGTATTAATGATTATAAAAAAATATATCTATTATACATTTAGTCTACGATTGTTGTTATAAACATTTATTGTAATTTGGATATTTTTTTATTTTAAATATTAGAATACATCTGTCAGTCATCTGCACTGTACAATATGTATATATTATATTTGTATGATCTGATGTGGAATCACCAATGTTTTCTTAACCCAATCTGTTTTCCAAATTTAAACAATCAGATTTGTATGAAATATTCAATGATCCTAAAGTCAGAAAACACACTTGAAATGGCGTGCTACACTTTCCAATTCATCCCCCACAAGAAATACACCTTTCATATATATATATATATATATATATATAGTCTTCTGTGATGGGTTCATCTTCATCTCCACCAAACCCTACCAAAAGTCTCCCATCTCTCTCTATTCTCTTCCGTCACAAGCCAGAAAATGGAGGGTCTTATCCCTTTAGTTTACCGGACGCTGAAGAAGACCAAAACCCGCCGGCGATACCAGTGTCTCTCGTCCGGCGCTGCTCAACCTTACAACATTGCTGATTTCTACGTTCATAGTCCGAATCCGAGTCAAACTCATTTCTACACGGAATCGAATAGTAATTCCATAGCCGAGGAGAACATCGGCAGTCGTGGTCACCGTCGCCGGATGTCCACGGGAAATATCCCCGAGGGAAATATCACTGTTACCGGAGGGTCTCAGACGCCGACGGGGCCGAAACTTACGAGGTTTAGGAGCACCAGGATGTTTTCATGCGTGACCGGTGGATGAAATTAAGATATGTACAATCTTTTGCTTTCGTTTTTGTTTTAATTAGGAATCACTGCAGGGACTAATAGAACATGGATTTGTTGTACATATGGTTTTTCTGGGTAATTATCATTATATTTCTCCCTAAGTGGGAGAAAATTTATGAAAAATCATAATTATTTGAATGATCGATGCAAGTGTTCTATTTGATTTCCATTTTAATAATAATTTTATGTGGTTTCTTCATTTTGATTTTTAGTTTATATGTTACGAAACAATTATTTTGATTCGAACTAATAATATTATTTATTGGATAAAGAATATAAATGATCTCGATTAAAGAACATTGTTTTGTTGAGTCCTCTAATTATTAACGTTACGAAATGGTCTCTCAAATATAATACGTTGTTTTATTGAGTCTCTCGATTATTAAAAGTTACAAAATTATCACTCAAGTATTCATATATTCTAAATTCATCCCTTTCTGTTAAAAAATTAAAGACCGTATGAACTGCACGTTAACTTGTTGACTGTGATATGAAAAAAATAATAATCTAAGAACCATTTGAGTTGTATTTTGTGGATCGACTCTCCTTTTAAATAATGACATCGAGTCAGGGGTTGAAAACAGTGACAATTCAAGTAGACATTATTAAAATATGATTTTATCATATCCCATCCAGCAAGTTCATGTCCAACTCAGACGACCGTCAATTATTTTAATGAACAAATAAAAGTTTAAAAAATATGAATAATCATGTGTCAATTTTATAATTTTTATTAATAATAGGAGATCAGTCAAATAGTATGATATAATCAGTACCGATATACTTTACCCTTATTTATAATAACAATTATTTACAAAACATTATACATGCGATCACATGTAAAAACGACAGTTTTTTATTAGACACAAAAAGACTGGGACAACAGAAGAGTTAAGAACACATTGGTGTGGTTAAACAAAACAAATAAATGAGTCCGAATAATATTATATTTTAATCCAATAAAATATTACGTATTAGTTAATTAGAGTTTATTTTATTTAAGTAATCTAGAATGGGTCCAATTAATTAATTAATAAAGACTCTTTCAATCCACATCTATACTACTTCACATGTTAATCTTAAGAAGAAACCACTAATTAATTAATAAAACACATGATAATTTATTTGAGATTTTCTTAATCTACTTTATGAAATTTATATTAAATTAAATCAAATATATTTATTCAAACTTTTACTATTAATAATTTTATGATACTTATTGATTTTATTTTAAACAGCTTCACTCTGACTATATATTCATATTCTTTCTTATGTGTAATCAAATACCCTCTAAGATTATATAATATATTGTGATATTTTTAAAGAAGAGACTTTGAGGACAAAATAATGATAGAAAGAAATAATTTACAACTAGGTGTAGTCAAAGGATAACATTAAACAAAACACAAGATTGAGGGACTAAATTGTAAAAAGAAGAAATTTAAAGCTAAAAAGTAAGCTACACAGATATTATACGATGATTGAGGAACATATTATTCAAATTTAATAAAAATAAACATAAAACGAAAAAGAAACGAAAGAAACAATTAAAGAACAGAAGAAATAAGAAGATAAAAAAACAAATCATAGAATAATCAGAATGAAAGGGGGTAATAGTTGAGTGGTCACTCGTGTAGTTTACCCTAAAACATATATATTGAATCACTAAAATATATATATTGAGAAAGGAAAAGAAAGAACTGCTTAGAGAATATGAAAACTTATTAATGGTTGTTGCAGCACTAAAATTCAGCAGAACCAGGTGTTCTTGGGAAAGGTATCACATCTCTTATATTCTCAACTCCGGTCGCAAACTGCACCAGCCTCTCGAAGCCGAGTCCAAACCCCGCATGAGGGACTGCCAAAGGATAATCAAACAGATTTTGATCAATATCCTAGTTTTTCTAATGGTAAATGGTCATTAAACAACGACCATGGTAACAACTTTTCCGGGGTCAGAAGCTGTTGTTATAGTTTTATGAAAAGGATAATCCCTAACCTGAACCATAACGACGCAGATCGAGATACCACCAGTAGCTCTCCTTACTAAGCTTCAGCTCATCTAAACGATTTTCCAGATAATCGAGTCGCTCTTCCCTTTGGCTTCCACCAATGAGCTCACCAACCTAACCAAATGTAACACGAAATGGAACTGCAATGAACTCGCCAACCGAGGAAAAAATATTATAACAATAAGATTCTTATAGAAGTGCAACACAAGTTAATATTTACCCGAGGTACCAACATATCCATTGCTCCTACGGTCCTCCCATCATCGTTTTCCCGCATATAGAATGCTTTGATCTCCTGAGAGTTTTACATTCAAGCATTAAAAACAGAAAATGGATAAAATCCCGACATAGAGAAGCGTGAAAGAGACAAATTGCATGCCTTAGGATAGTCCCTGACGATCACAGGGCATCCATTAAATGCTTTTTCGGTTATGTATCGTTCATGCTCACTTTGCAAATCACATCCCCATTTCACCTACAGAAGACACCAAGCGTTAGAAATCTACGATAGAAATGAATCTCCATACAAGCTTGTGATAGGATTATCTCTTAAAGGCATGCTAACAATCATAAATTTAAGCACGGCATATTCATGACCCGGAAATGGTTTATCTTTTCACCAAATCGGAAACTTTTTCTTTTATTCATCTAATGCAAGAGAAGGTTTCTTCATAGGTTTGAACCCAAAAAAGAAAACGCAATACCGGGAATTCAAAATTTTTATTTGCTTTCAGAAGAAGTTCAATTGCATCAGTATAAGTCAGCTGCACAAAGTCTTTCTCAGCCACATCCTGTTAACCAAATAAACGTTACCCTTTATCAGTACAATAGCATTACCGGTAATGGCGTCAAGCTCAATAGAAGAGCTGATCAAAATCTAGAATAACAAATAATGTGTAATAACTCCCTCCAAATTCAGAAAAAAAAAGGTTAAGATACACATTGAGCTCATACATTCAGTCGATCAATGACTCCTTTCTCGATCCAAGTGTTGAAAAATTCCATGTCTTCCTTGCAATTATCGAGCACGTGTCTCACCTTCCAAGGAAAAGAGCATAAATTACAGCAAATTCACTCAGAAGAATACAAATAAAGAATTTCAATGTATCTGCCTCTTTGCTCCTCACTCTAACAACAAAGATGAATTCATAAATAGATGTGAAGAGTAACATACTACATACTGGAGATATGCAGTAGCGCAGGCCATGTCATCATTCAGATCAGCAAAAGCCAGCTCTGGTTCAATCATCTACATAAACGAGGGTATAAGTTCTTCGAGACGAGGCTTAGTAAGGTCAGACCAAATGCTCAAACATTGGGACATGGAGAATGTTATAGTTTTACGAATGCTTACCCAAAATTCAGCCAAGTGCCTAGATGTGTTTGAATTTTCTGCTCGAAAGGTGGGTCCAAATGTATACACCTAACAAAGTACAAGTATGTATTATTTCTTGACTGGTTACCTTCGTATTTTGAATTACTATGAGAACAAGTGGAAGCATACATCGGTAAGAGCTGTAGCATATGTTTCAGCATTAAGTTGGCCGGAAACTGTCAAGAATGCAGGTTTGCCAAAAAAATCCTGGCACGTATAAATAGGTCAGAGAATACCATTATTGGAATTCAAAAACACGCTAATTCCTGAGAGACACATGTTGTGATAGACAATGAAAAAATTGCAATGTTTACAAGTACATTTCCAGATAAAACATCTTATGTACTAATCCATCAATAGCACAAATGATGCATGGAGCAAAGCTATGAAACGACATGCACGGATGATGCATGGTGCAAAGCTATACAACTCTATGTAGTAGTATTGGAAGCAGTGTGATGTGAAGTAAAACTAGCTCACCTGAGACCAATCAATTAATCCATCTTTTGTATTAGGAATGGCATTCACAGGAGAATCAGCAGCTTCTCTGGAGCTTGGAATCTATTAATTACAAAAAAGTTTAGAAGTCAAAAAGCTAAATGAAAAGCCCAAACATAACTGAGTCATAATTGCTAATGAGTTCTTACTGAAACCATTTCACACACATCGGGATTCTACATTTAAATCAACAAGCCCATACATGGTCCAAACCATCCCCAAGAAGAAACAAATTTAACAATGCAACAAAGATGCTAGAAAATTATAAAAAGTATAGTAATTCCCCTAAGTCTAGATGCTCCAAGTAGACACGTCGACAATAGCTTAACTTTACACAAAGTTATTTAAAATAATATGGAGCCGCAGGTTAACTTTCAATGATCAAAACCTAAAATAACAAAAGAGCTATTAGAAGAAATAAATAGATTCATTATAGATACGCTTCATACCAAAGTAGTAACACAGAACTGTTCACCAGCTCCTTCACAATCTGAAGCCGTAATGATAGGACTTGAGATCCATACAAAACCATTTTCTTGAAAAAACTTATGCGTTGAATAAGCCAAAGCATTCCTCACTCGTGCAACCTAAAGAGAAGTTATATCATTAAAAGAGAATACACACATAGATAAACAAACAAGCAAAGAAAATCACCATGGTCTCATTTGGAAGGCAAAGTAACCATGCTGGCAAATAGCAAGTAGAAGTTACAACTAATATAAAAGATGACGCCTTGCACAAACTATGGCAAGAGTAAGAATAAACTAATATAATCACAACTAGAGATGATAGTGAACAAGCGACAAAACCATACCGCACCAAATGTGTTTGTTCTAGGACGAAGATGAGCTTTAGTTCTCAAAAATTCTCGGCTGACCCTTTTCTTTTGAATGGGATAGGAAGGATCACTTTTTCCAACCTGCCAAAAAAACAAAGGATACATACAATTAGTCAAAAATACTACAAGTTTAAAAAATTTCCTTCGATTAGGGGAGAAATTTCTTTTAATAACCCAACAGAGGAACATGCAGTAACATTCATGTAATATGGCACAGCGATTGTCCATTTTCCAAAGCATTGCCATGAAAAAGGATAATGACAAAAAGTCAAAAACCAATCGGGATTACAACATAGCAATGCATAGAGCAGTATGACAAGTTAGAACCGTTTTCTGATTTCGTAAAGCTACTTTGATGGTTTGCAGATGCAGACCACTTGAATCGAATCTCGAGACAAAATGGATGAATAAACTCCTACTTATCACAGTAATCAACTTCAACGAAATGAAAGAGGAGACAATCTACCGTACCAAAACAACTTTTTCAACCTTCAGTTCCACCTTCTGCTTTGACCCTTGGCTAGCCACCAAAGTCCCTTGCACCCATATAGATGCACCAGTAGAAACCAAGCCAGATTCCACCTGCAAGCTTGAAACATATAAATAATTTGCAACTATAATACACACACAGACTAAGGAAATCCAAAGAACAACTATAAATTGAAAATTTATCAGTTTTCCACTCTCAAACACAGCAAATGGTGCTAATAAATCTAACAAATTAATGTTGTATTACCTGATCATAACCTTCAGCATCCGAATTCATCACGCATTGCATGTTTGAAAGGGACGAACCATCATTTACCTACAAACGTAATATCAACCACATACATTAATAGAAATAAAAAGGAGACGGGAAAAAGTTTGGATTTTCACCTCAAGGAATGTAACGCTGCTTTGAGCCCGGAAAGTCCGAACCCAACCCATAACCACCAGAGTCTGACCGACCCGATTCAAACCTTCATCAGGTCCTCCTTTTATGTCAGCTATCTTCACCTTTTTCCTAAATTCGCCTACTTTGTTCCCCATTTCGTCAACTTTCTTTTCTCGGAATTCTGTTTTCTTCACCTCCCCGGACTGCAGCGCGGCGGAAATAACGGAGCAGAAGCATCGTTTCCGATGGAAAGTCGATTGAAAGTGGACCGGGCGGCGAGGAAGCGGCGGGAAAAGGCGTGGGGTTATTGGGTTTTTGGAATAAAATGAAAGGAAACGAAGGGTAGAGTACGGTTTGAATCGGAGAGGAGTAGCGGGTGTTAGAGCAGCAGCAGCAGCAGCAGCCGCCATTTTTGCGCCACTCTTTGCTTTGCTTGGATTGGGCTCTTTGTTAACACTACTGCTGTGATTTCGACCTTAAGTGCATAGATTTCCAAACAAGAAAAATTAACTTTTCATATCACAAACAGATGATGTTGTCAGTAAAAAATCAAACCCAACCCAAAGCCATACTATGATCCAAAACACTTGGCTATTAGGTTTTCAAATGGTCAGTTTTTTTAAAATGAGTTATATTTGATTTATTGATTAATTAATTTATATTAAATATTTTATAAGTTTATTACAGAGATAATTATTTTAATCTAATTTACTTCATTTATAATATCATAGTTTAAACTCTTGATCTTATTTAAGGAATATAGTATATTATTTAATTTCTTTTATAAAATCTAAGTCATGTCAAATAAAATATATTTGTTCATATTTCTTTTAAAAAATAAATATAATTATTTATAAAGTTATAGTACTAGTTACTTATAATTTAGATAAATTTATCTAACTATAGATCATATATAGGGATGGATAAGGGGGCGATATATATATATAGGGATGGATCAAGGGGGCGATCAGGACAGTTTCCCTTTAAAAATTTTAAATTATTATATATTCTAAATATTTTATTTGTTTTTTATTTATATTCTATTTTTATTTCTCTAAAATTTTATAAGTTTGTTCCCTCTAAATTTTTAGAACTTCGCCCCTAAATAATCTCCTAATATATATTACATGTGTAACTGAATAAGTAAGATTTATAACGTTATTTAGTAAACCAATTATCATCTAAAATTATGTATTATATAATATTATTTTCTTAAAAAAAGATTTTAGTGATAAAGTATTGCCGAAAATGTAAAAGAAGTCAAAAGAATTTAATGAAAAAGAAATTTATAAGAATTACAGCCATAAGATTAAATTAAATAAAATATAAAATTAAGAGATTAAATTGAATAAAATATAAAAATATAAAAATATAAAATTTAGCATAAAAAGAAGAAATGAAACTGCAAAAGTATTTTAGAATAGTTGGTGAATATATGATTCAAATTTAATATAAATAAACTTAAAATAAAAATGAATTGCAGAAACAAATAAATCAAGAATCAAATCTTATAATAGACAATTTAATTAACTGAATACAAAAATAAAATGATTTTAATAAATTTAAATTCATTTTTAACTTAAAATACGAAGAAAAAAGTTAAATGAACAATAAAATATATATATATTTGAGTCCGAATTTTATTCAACCCAACGTACAAGAGTGGAAGTCATGGATACGTACAACAGTGGAGCTTTTTGTAAGATCCATGGCGATTACTCAATAAGCAACACCAAACAATCTAAATATAAAGCTGACCCAAATTAACGATGGAGATATAAAAGCGACCAGTCCAATCATTTGGTCGATTCAAATGATATTAACTAATAATAAGAAGGAGAAAAAGATTTTTTTTTTGAAGCAATTAATTTATAAAAACCAAAAAATGGGGAATCGAGTAGGAGCAGTTGCCGATTCCAATAATAAAGGAAGAGGTTGGATTCCTTCTCGTTTTCATTTTCTTTCTTCTCTCTTTTTAGAGATCAAGCGAGTCTTTGAATTAACACCCATTGATTCGAAATGAGCACGGGCGACCTTCTCAACGTCGACCCTGTAGAGCTCAAGTTTCCTTGTATGTTTTCTGGGATTCTCTTCCTCTTGTATCTCCCGATCTTGGATTTATTTATTTTTTCCGGGTTTTTAATTTTGATCCGTTGTTGTTGTTATGGTGTTTCGATAGTTGAGCTGAAGAAGCAGATCTCATGTTCTCTTCAATTGTCGAATAAAACTGATGATCATGTTGCTTTCAAGGTATCCTTCGTCAATGTCGAATTGAAATGGTCTGTTTGGAAGCTGAGAAAAATAAAATAAAATGTGAATCAATATTTTATTTGGATTTTGTTTTCAGGTGAAAACAACCAATCCGAAGAAGTATTGTGTTCGTCCCAACACGGGGATCGTTTTACCTAATTCTACATGCGAGGTTATAGGTACAAATGCAACGAATCAATTGCATTTTCCCCCAGATTTTTATCATTGTTGAATTCTGGTAATCTTCAAAAGAATCAATGTTTTTTTATTTAGTTACCATGCAAGTGCAAAAGGAGGTCCCTGCTGATATGCAATGCAAGGACAAATTCCTCCTTCAAAGTGTAAAAGCCCCTGATGGTGCAACCCCAAAGGATATAACTGCAGAAATGGTATGATATTATTATTCCAACCCTTCATTTTGCTTGAGACGGTGGACACTTACTCGTATCTGACATATACATTCGAATTCGAGTAACATAGTGTATAGTTTTGATTGATTACGGAAATGTTCGTTTTTCTAGTTCAATAGAGAAGCTGGAAATGTGGTTGAGGAATGCAAGTTGAGAGTAGTCTATGTTTTTTCATCTCAACATACACCTGCACATGATGGATCTGAAGTAGGGTCTTCAATGAGAGGCTCTATTTCGGACAATGGCCAGGCGAATGCTACTGAGTTTGTTATGGTACAGAATCCAAGATCTTACTGCGTGTATTTTCGTTATTGCCTTTGTTTGTTGTTTGCATTCGGTATTCTAGTATGCTAATAGTTTGCATTTTCGTTGGTGAATGCAGGCTGCAAGAACATTTACAGATGATGTTCAAGATAAATCTCCTGAGGTAAATTCTGGATTCTGTATCTTCAGTGTCACCTTGTACTGGTGCATATGCATGATTTATTCTTCATTTATTTTGGCATTCCGATCTCTGTTGCTTCGACTCTTCATTTATCTAGAAATACTCCTGTTCAACTCTTATCCTATGCATATCCAAATATTGTTATGAGAATATGATGTTTCCATAGCCTCAAAATACATGAAAAACGTACCCGTATCTGGAACTTACACCGAGTCAGAGTAACATAGCTCTGGATATGGTAAGAATCATATTTTTCTAGGTAGATATTTACAGATGAAGTTCAAGATAAGTCTCCCAAGGTAAATTCTGAATTTTGCATCTTCTGTGACACCCTATGCTGCTGGATATGCGTGACTTTTTCTTCATTTATTCTGGCATTTTGGATCTATGTTTCTTCGATTCATTTTTCTTGAAATGCTTGTGTCCAACACCTATATCCGATATCGATATGAAAATATGATCCTCCTATAGCATCCAAACACATGAAAGAAGTTTAAAAAATTGAACTTATGTGTTGTAAACATACCTGTATCTGGAGCTCATACCCGAGTCAAAGTAACATAGTTATCGATATAGTAAGGTCCATATTTTTATAGTGAGATATTTGAATTCCTTTCAACGCTTCCGGGTTGCGGCCTGAAGCTCTTTTATTGTCAGTGATGCTGATATGTTAAAGGTATAATAATCCTCAATAACGCTTTCTATAATTGCAGGCAAAGGCTCTTATAACAAAGCTGACTGAAGAAAAAAATAAAGCAATTCAACAAAATAACAAGCTTCGCCAAGAGCAGGTGAGTCGAACTGACTGTGATATATGCCATAGGAATCGTAGTAAATTCATCAACCCTTTATTTTCCGCTTACCGTCTCTCCGTAATTGCTTCTAGTTATTGAAAATTTCGAGCCTTCTGTCTTCCTTATACATCTCAGACCTCAGCATGATCCCTACTCATCTTTCCGTGAAACCGATATGATCTTGTTGTCAGTTGCTTATGAAATGCAGCTAAAAACTTTCCATCACCTGATAGATTTGTGCTCCCGATGTACTTGTCTCCGATGGTTCATTATGTTCTCTCGGTCTATACGAGCAATGCGAAATTCTCACATGTAAAAATCACATCACAAATGTTCAGGAACTGTTGAAGCGCGAAAGCAGCAAAAGTGGTGGCGGTCTGTCATTCATGCTTGTCTTCTTGATAGGCTTGGTCGGATTAATTGCGGGATATATCATGAAGAGATCGTAAACCTGTACCGATCTAGTTTGGTTCATCTGCATATTCTTCCTCTACTTTCCTTCATCTGGAGAAGTGAAACTGCAGTAAAAGGGAAGAACAATAGAGGGTCTTCTCCTGGTTATTCCATTAGTTAGCTTAGGTCCTATGGTGAGTATGCGGTTGGTAGTTGCACTTCCATTAACGTGTTGCATTCTTTCTGTAAACATCATTTTTTTTTCTTTTTCATTTTTCTCAATTGTTTAATGAACAATAAGAGATGGCAAAATCTCACTATTTTATGACCCAATGTTATATTTATCTATTACAAATAACATCATAATTGTAACTATAAATGACGTAATTAGAATTAATAATAATAATAATATAATCAATTATTAAAAACTATTGTTAGATTAACTATTGAATATTTAGACAATATATATATATATATATATATATATATTTATTTATATGATAAAATTTAAACTATAATAAAATTCTGACTTAATAAAAATAATTTTTTTACTTTTTGTGCAAGCGAGAGGGTTGTGCAGGCAGGAGTGGGGATGAATTTTTTTTCTTAAAAACATTTTTAAAATATAATAGTTTAACTTTTTTTTTAAAATGATAATTTAATCTATATATATATATACATCTCAGATAATAATTGAATTTAACGACCGTCACTGCGTAGACACCTAAAGTGTAACGTCAAAAATATTACACACTTAAAGTTAATTTAGGGTATAGTTTGAACACTTATTTTTGCATTAAGCCAAAATATAAACATAATGTGTTACTTAACAGTTTTTTTAACTGTTGTTACTATGTAGACACTTCAAAGTGTAATAGAGAGCCATCTAGTTTTAACGAAATTTTTTTTAATCACCTAAAATTAACTTAACGTTCTTTAGGCTCCTAAAATTAACTTCACGTTCTTTAGGCACCTAAAATCAACTTAATGTATAATTTAAATACATATTTTTCCATTAAGCACTAAAATTTAAATTACAAAATTTTTAAGACCTCAAGTTTACCATTAACACAACATAATTGTGATATGCATTCCACGTTATTTATATATTTGTTTTTTTATTCAAATAAATTATGTAATTTTATTTATATAAAATAAAATTAATAAAATTATAGCTTATGTATGACTGAAACCTCAATTTTTTTTAAAAAAAAATCGATTAAATTAATAAA